CCCTATTGCCAGAACCTCTCAAGAGTTATCATATTTATAAATGAAATTACCCGATGAAGGCTATTGTGAGTCAGTATATAAAGAAGACAAATTGCATTTTTCTTATAATGGTTGAAAAGTCCAACGGATATTTTATAAGACTTAAAACCAGTCTTCGCACTATAACGTTATTGGCAGATATAGAAGTATACCTAAGAAATAGATTGTGTTCATATTTACTTTGGAAGTTGGAAAATTATTTATTTGGACAAAATTCTACAAGATGTTGATACTTATATTATTATATATTGACCTAAAGTCATCGAGGAGGATGGACCGGGCTGGCCCTACGCTGTCTCATCTCTTCAGAATTTTCAGAAAGTGGAACATGAAAGGCTGAGATTAAAATATTTTCCTATGTTTTGTTTATTTAATTATTTTTTAAATTGGTTTTATTTTTTTCAAAATAATTTAAATTCATAACATTAAAATAAAATAAAGAGTACTGACATAATACTCCCTAATGTTAGTCTAATTTGTGGAATACCTTCCAAATGTTTTATTTTGTGGAATACTCGTACCATCTAAATCTGTTAATTTAGGCATTAAAAATAGTAAAGATGGCCAAAACCAATAATACCTCGAAGGGAATCTGTCTGTTCACACCCTATATTATGCAGCAAAACAGAAGGCAATTCATCATGAACTCAGAAAAGTTCATCTCAAGGTACAGTGGTGGAGAACATCTATCTATTGCTAGTTAAAAAACTTCAAGGTGTAGATAAGATAGTAAACACTCTTGCCATCCCACGAGCTAAAATCTTCAACATATACATTTATTACATGTTACTTTCCTTGAAGAAAAAAAAGACACAAATTAAAATGAGAATAAGCATTTTCTAACCCAAGAATCCCAAATCCCATCTTCACCAGCACTTATTGTCTTGTTCAGAGGTCCCCAAATTGCTCTGTTAATTCTTCCCAGGGGCCCCTTATGAGTGTAAACAGATTCACCAGCCTCTGCAACATTACCAGCATATTTTTTAGCTAATCAGTCAAGTAATTTGGTGACAAACAATTGCACAAGGTGTGAGCAAATTTGACAATTGCATATAATTCAAGAGACTTGAGCTATCGAATTGGAAGGAATAAGTCAGACTACAGTAGATAGAAACTTAATGAGGATAAATCGATACAACCTTTTCCCCTCAAAATTTTGCCATTATGATTTCAAAGCTTGACTGGATGATGGTGATGAAGCATATCAGTTTGGAGTTTAGATTAGTGGCTGTTTTCAATTTACTACAGTTGGTTTCTTCTCCTTTGTTTTTTCAAACAAACGGCGTCTTAAGGAGAGACATTACGCTAAAGAGAAAGTTAACCCAATATGACTTCATATAAAAACTCTTTCGAAAGAGAAGCCTATCAAACGGATATTTAGTGTGAATTTCAAAATCTTGTAAATCATCTAGTTTTGTATCAAATTGCACTCGAAGACATTATGCTAAAGAGAAAGTTGACTCATTATAACTAACTCTAAAAATTAGATTTCAAACAATAATGCCAGTATCTAGTGTAAATTGCAAAATCATAAATTTTTAGCAAAATTGCGCTCAAAAACATGATGCTTAAGACACATCCGTCTGGAGTTGAGATTTGCTGTCCAATTTGCTATCCACTTAATTGCAAATTGACTCATCATGTAAAATTAAAATTGATGTTAAGGTTAGAAAATTAAAATTGTTCATAATTTTAAATTTTCATGATGTGTCAATTTTTAATTAAGTAGACAATAAATTGGACGGCATATCTCAACTCGTAAAATTCACGTATTAAAAACGATAAATATTAGTGAGACCAAGTTAGCAAGTAATTTGTAATGATCACTAAAGGTCAAGGGGGGCAGCATATGCTGGCCAAAGCTGGTACATTTATTGACGTTCTGCTGGGGATTTAGCGCATCAAATATGAAACCACATTACTATAACGTTCTAAATTACATTTTAGGTTGAACCAAGAGTGTTCCTTTAGTCACACGGATATGCCCTTTAAGGTTTTACTGATTTTGGCTCTGTATCTTTATTTTTAATGCCTAAACTTACGGAATTAGACTACAGGGGCTACTTCACAATGTTTTGGCGATATAGGGAGATTTTGCTCCAAAATGAAAAGTTATGGGGTATTCCAAAAAACATGCAAATGATAAGGGGGTATTATGCCAATTACCCTAAAATAAAATAAAAAGATTTGAAGTGAGTTCAAATGGGAAGTGTTACAAGGTATGATTGTTCATTTACGGTGAAATTAAAATACTTTCGTCAATATAATTCGATCGATTACGAAATATGAATGTATGTCAATTTTGATTATCGATCATATCTATCACTCCATTCTTGAGTCAATATTAGTTGAAAACTCTTTTCGACTTATGAACACACCTTGGATAAGGATTTTGTTATCAATTTAATTGAATGAAATGTAAATTATCATCTCTTACTATCTAAAAGTGACGAATTTTCAATTGACCATTCGCAACATTTGTATAATTCTTGACAACTTGACAACATTTGAATGATGTCGTATTAGAAGACTTCATTAGCATTTTTCTTCTACTGGGTTGAAAAGTACATTGGATATTTTAGAATACTTCAAACAAGTTTACGTACTATAACGCTGTTGGTATATGTGTTCACATTGACAGTTGGAAAAATTATTTATTTGGACAAATTTCTACAAGTTGCAGTTTTATTATTTTATGGACCTCAAGTTAGAGAGAGGATGGATACGATTTGAAAAGTGGGGCAGGAAGGAGACAGGGACAAGTCCAGAATGGGGCAAGGCCCTTCGCT